TTAAGTTTTTAATATAAACATAAAAAATTCCATTTTCTGCATGTAATATTACATTATAGCTGAATAAAATTTTCAATCTTCAGGACAACACCCATTCGATGAAATTCCGAAGAAATGATTATACTACAATGTAGAATAATTTTCCTTATGACACAGTATTTTTAGTATTCCCCGTCTGATGTATTGCGAAGTAGTTCAATGGAAATTATAGTCCAAAAAAATGGCACAGAAATAATGGTAAATTCGGTTTATCACGAGCGCAGCAGTTGATAGCCTAAGAAGAAGAAGAAGAAGGAAAAAAAAAATTAACCAAATTGAGATAAAAGTCGTCTCTTAGAGCACGGGAGCGAGGCGTGAAAGGATAAGCAGCAGCGGGAGCGGGAGTGTGTATATATATACATGTAATTGCGGATTTAAATGGGCACCCGAGGAAAGTGGGACGAGAAAACGCCGCGGTGCAGCGCAGCCGAACGGGAGACAGAGATGATTTACCATTGCAGCCATCGCTTGCCATTGTTTGGCGGTGCTTACCCCTTCGTGTTTTATAGTGGCAGTGAAACTGGTGTGCCGCATTTTTCGTCGCGTTTTCTTGCTCTGCTTTAGTTTTCCTGTATCCCTCGTTTTTTCACACTCCTTTCTCTCGTTTTGCCTGTCCCTCTTTTCCCTCTCTTTCTTTCTCAGTTTTAACGATACACGCGGCGGGGATTTCGTGACCACACTTTTCTTTTTCTTTTTTTTTTCTTTTTCTACTGATACAGTTGACAAGATCTTAGGATGTACAATAATACATGACGGCAGACTTTTGAGCGCAAAATTAAGGTGAAAAAAAGCTCGTTATTTGTATTATCTGATTTCTGAAAATTTCCTCGTTTGTGTTACACTCCTTTAATGTCACTGTATTTAAGCGACCATAAAGACGGAGAGCGTGTTGTTTCTCTCTTTTCCCAGTGACAATTATTTTATTCATTCCTTTGTTTTATACATTGTTTAATTAACAATTAAAAATAAAAGATAAATTATCGTATCGCCAGTTACAAGCGAAAAGGTACCCGTACAGATTCTCTTCGAAAAACTGGGAAAAATTATTTTTGCTCACAAATTTTGTACTTCATCGCTGATATTCTGGTATAGATGAAAAATTTTTTCGGACACGAATGTTTATTTTGCTGTTATTGTTCTTGTTCCCATTCGAAAAAAGGTCCTAAAAAATACCTGAAAGCCATGGTCCTTATGATGTTTGAATTGATGGCAAAATAATAAAAGGTCTAAGTTGGTACCTTCTTGGATATTCTTCAACAGAAATCTTCTAAATTGCAACTATAGATACACCCAAACGGATATCCAAAAGTTGATCAAACTCAAAAAAACTACTCGTCACACTTTTTGCCGACTCCTATTCCTAAGGCTTCGTCTCAGAAAAAGTCGAAAGCGTCAACGAACCATAGCTCCCGCGCAAAAATTGTTTCTGACTTTTTTTATTTATTCCACTTTACTTTCCACCCGAAACCCATACAAACCACAACCTCGACAGTAAAACTGTTTTTGTTATTTCAAGCACTTCGTACGATCGTTTTAACTATCCCCGTGAACTACTTTTGCCGGAAAAACAAGAAAAGTATGTAAAACTTTCTTTCAGATCGAAGAAAAAACTATGTGCTCACGAGATGACACCCCATCTATATTAGTGCTTCAAATAAATGTTGAGTTGGAATTTGAAAGGAAAAAAAAATCACACGCAACCTCACGTGTCGCATTTCCCTTGTTGGTGGACGTACGGAACAAAGGCTGTCCTGGAGACGGGTAATGCGTATCTTGTTGAAATTAAACGCTTGTCGAAAGCGTGTGTCGAGGTGAGAGGGAAATAAAATTGACAAACGAGTGATACCGAGTGAAAGGAAAATTTATGAATACTCGTAAGATGGGGAGAATAAAAAAAAATTGTCTAGTAAAGTTTTCCACACATAGACTTTAGAAGTCCGTCACATTGAGTTTAGTAGTCCGAGTGTGCAACACCAACTTATTAAAATAATCATGCAAGTTGTCTAGAATTTTGTTTATTCCTATGTAGAAATCACGCAAAAAAAAGTTTAGTTTTTTTACTCGTGGACATTAAATACGTAATATCCTATAACCCAGTATCCTTTTTTTTTTTTAATAGTGAGAAAGAGATAATATTCTAAAAGACACCTACGAGTTGACAAATGTCATATTTTTTATCAATACGGATCCATATGTACATCAGCCTCCACCCCCGTACCCATGAAAAACCTCCACCTCAAGAGATCCTACCGCAATGCTACCGATCCTTGAAGCAGACAATATGAGAGAAAAGCAGAGACAAAGTTGAAAGTTGGGACGGCAAATGTTCGATCGGCTGAGCTAAAGTCGAAGGGAGGACGATTGGAAATGATGAAGAAACTTGGAGCATCTCAAGCTGTAGGAGCTTTTAATTCCGTAACTCTGCAACACCAGACTCTTTAACCATATAACCTGGGGAACTACTGTTAGCTTAAAAAAAATTCTATTATTTTTTGTGAGCGACTTCTTTCATTCGAACAAATAATTTTACCTCTCAAGTTATATCTAAGTGTTACAAGACCCTGGGGGTTACAACGGGCTTATGGAATTTGAGAGCTTAGATAATAGGGTCATAGGGTTTTCATAGCTTGAAGGTGTTAATTTTGTGGAAATGTGAGTGCCACTCGTGGGACCTTCTACTGGGCGCTCCTGCAAAAATGTTTGTAGGCTTATAATTATACTACACAGTACTGTTTTGCACATATTCTGTTTTTTTTACCGCAACTTAATAAATATACAGCATTTTATGTTTTAACGTTCGCTGAAATCTAGTCAAAACTACTTACACGAAAATCCCTTGCCCAAACAAAACTAGACGATTGTGTTACTCCTTTTATAAATAGTAGATCCTCAGTGGCTCAGTCGGCCAAATGTATTGTTGAGTTTTCTGCCGAGTAAGAAGAAATTGAGTTTTATTGTCATGACGTACTTCACCTTATATGTTTGATTCTTGCTTTACGCTAGACTGAACCCACGCCATGTGCTTCACACAGCTCGCTCAGGGGAACTTTAGCAAAAACTTGAACATCCTCGGAGTATGCTGATCACCCAAAGCCAGTGTTGAACAACGAAAAACGAGTTATTTTCAAGAAACGGCACATCGTAAGGATTTCGCAATTTCGTGATTAATAAAAACATACGTACGCGCTCCAAGAAAACGCGTGTTACGCGATAAAATCAGTGGTACGTAATTTTTGAAAGCTAATTCAAACTTTATGACGATTACGTCGATAACAACATTTTTTAGCCTAACGGTGCGTACCGTATAAATAAATGGAGTGGATTTCCATTGGAAGTTTGAAATAATATTAACAGTACCGTTCAAGTTGGACCTCGCAAATTGTATAATCCTCACCAAGTGTGCGGGGCTCATTAAAAGGTCCGTATAGTTTCGATGAACTGAAAACAAAATTGGAATCAAATTCACTTTCCGACTGAGGCGAGGGACAAAAGGAAAAGACGAGGATATTTGGAGCAAGTTGGCGAGAGAGTGGAAAAACGCAAAATAAAACGATGAAAAACGCATTCGATTTCCCGTGCGGGTAAAAGTGGAAGGATGCCGTAGATGAGGAGCCGTGATAAAATGGCACTTGGGCGAGAGGTAATTGCCTTTCGCATATCATAAAACTGCTTTGCCCGCCTGACTGAATGTATATACATGTATGTAGTTGATCCTTCAGTCGTGCGTGACTCGTTGACTCAATTTATATAAAGCATCAATTTGAATCAAAATTAATTATCATAGCTTACGGTGGAGGTAATAAAATTTTAATTGTCATATCATGCGTGAATATTGTTAATAGGGTTACTTTTAAAACGATGGTGTGCTACATTATATATATATATTTTTTTTTTTTCATTTCTTCAAAATCCCGTCCAACCTGAGACTGTTTACAAATGATGTATTTTTCTAAATAATGACGATAATATTATTGACACGAAAGCATTCTGTCATACTACTTTTGTCGTTGTCTCAAGATCTGATGAACTCTTTAATCAATTTCTTGGTAAAAAAGTTATTTTGAAACAACAATACGTTCCAAAAATGAGCGTGATTTACCATTTACCAAGTAGATGTTGGTATAGACAAATTTAATTTACCATCGAATTTTAGAATTACACTGCCATTTAGAAGTCATGTACACCTGACGTGTCACTTTTGGAAATTAAGTATTTCTGTTTTTATCAACGAAAAATTTCGAAGCAAAAAAAAAATGAAAAGTACCATTGACTGAGATGGGCGAACCGATAATCACTAAAGCCAATTTAATCTTGGTGACTTGCGAGCATGCGAATCGTGAGGGGGTGGGGGGAAACTACATATTCTACATGCAACTCGCAGTAGCACACTCGAGGCTCACGAGTCAAAATGGACCGACAAGAGAGACTCCTCAGCCGGCTTGGCTGCACTTCTTGTATTACACGAAGAGCAAAGAGATAGAGAGAGAGAGAGAGAGAGAGAGAGAGCGAAATACTTAAGGAAGCACAGCATGGATTCGCAACATGCAGGCCACATACAGCCTGTCCGGCGTCGTATAGGAGAGCACAGCCGTGTATAAGAGACGGTGCACGCTCGCTCGCCGAGGTGGGGATCTAGATTTAAAGCAAACGGGGCCAACGTCTCCGGTGCCAGAGCCATCTCGGGCCTTGAACGGTCGAGGTCAATTTCTCCCTCTGTCTACCTCGTCCCTTTTTTTTTTTTTTTAAAAAGTCCCATTCTTTTTTCCTCACCTCGAATCATCGTTCCACTTGGCTTGGTGATAATTTTCGTTACCCAGCGCCCAGGACTAGTAGGAGGGTGTATGCGTGCGGGTACGTGGGTCGCGGACACCGTGAAAAGGGGAAACAAGTTTTGTTCGTTGTTTGTTTGTTTTTGGGAAAAGCGGAAGAAGAGGAGATCGGAGGACTGGACGTCGTTGCTGTTCGCTTTTATGTGACCAGTTGCTGCTGAAGGGCAGGGAAAACTACAGGAGCCAGTTGACGGTATGTAAATGCTGTTTTTTTATTTAATTAAATTTTTTTTTTTTTTTTTCTTAAATTTGACTATGGGTTCGGTCGTTTATTACGTTGGTTTAAGCTTTTCAGTCGTTTCATTACAGTTGGTTTCATCGGTGGGGAACGTTTTGCTCGTTCATTAAGTTATTTTTATTTTTTTTTTTTTTTTTTTTTTTATTATGGATTGGTGAGTGAAAGAAAAAGTTTGAAAATACAAATTATTTATCAATAAATTTTCCGGGAACTTGAACTAAAACATTTTGAAAACAAACCGGCTTTGATGAGGAATGAGCCAGTAATTTTTTTTCACTGAATAATGTATATGTATTTGAATTTTTGATGTACTACATTCATCATAGAAATAAAAAATTTCCAACGGAAAAACGTAATCAGGTGCAATTCAATTTTAAACTTAATACCAAAGAAAGTTGAAAAACAAGCGATTTCGCGAAATTGCATTAGAAAGTGTATCGATAATTAGCCATGCATCCGACATACATGAGCGCGTTCTCGTTGAAAAAAAAAAAAAATAAATAAATAAGCTCGAGAAAGTCTCTTCGCGATACCGAGCGCTGTAATAGACGATATTCGCATTAATTGGTGTTTTGAAACGAACGTTTTTCCAACTTTTCGCATAAACCATGTATTTTGCCGATTTCAACGTATATAAATAATGAAGGAGAAAAACTGTCATTTCGTATAAATCTTTCCTACCAGTCTCACAAATTCTAGTTTTAGCTATGATTTTCATTAAGTGTCATAGTTTCTTTTAACTCGATGAAATAGAAACAAATAGTCATAAAAAAAGACTTAATTCAGTCCTCACGCTTTTATTTTCGGTCACAGCCAAGTATACGAATTAATTATCGTTGGATGTATAATTTTTTTTTTTCTAATTTTCAATAGGGTGGCAACATAAGCAGCTCGATTGAGAGTTGCAACACCTTCATAAAATCATTATCTAACAAGAATTCCGTTGTTAATGGCACAGATAATTTTTCCCTTGCTATATTTATACGTAAAAAAAGTCCCAAGATATTGTCACCTCGAAAAAACAAAAAAAAAATTGTTTATACCACGAAAGATTACAGATTATGCTGCCAAAGGGAGCAGCGCCCTTGTTGGCGCTGGTCCTGTGGCTGGCCGTCGCGGAAGCAGTACTCGACAACGACGCGCCGATCCGCACGTCGTCACGCTTTTACGCCCAAAGAGACCAGCTCCACAATTCGAATGACCAAGAAATCAGGCGTTCGTCCGGAGGGACCTCGGCTTCGACGAGGCGCGAGTCCAACTTCGACCCAAATGTTCTTAATCGCTTCCTTGAAGATTATGCCGACAAAATCAGGCGCACCACCGAGAAGACGACGATTTTTGGATACGACGAGGACGCGAAGGTACATCATCAGGACGACCAAGATCTTGAAGCCATTGCCATCGAGATCAACGACAAGGATGTCAACGCTTCCATCCCCCATGGATTTCGCGAGCCGGTATGATCATTCGACACGTTCGTTTTCAATACAAAATTCAAATGACATATAGTGTATTTCTTCGGTGATGATCAATTTCATTAATTATTACCGATTAATCTATTAACAGCTAGTTGTGCAAAAAAATCAGGAGTAAAGACTACTCTTGAAGTAACGTACGTAACATAACTCTGGAAATATGATCTTTTTTCCTTATATTTCGAGGTCCGATACACATTTTAAAATTAAATGAACGTAAAAATATTCATAACAATGCAGGTAAGCATTATGTAATGTTCCGTATCAAAAAATAATTGTTAAATAGTTTTTGTCATATTTTCGAAGTTTTTGTTCTAAACAATTAAAAAAAAAAAAAAACATTATTTTTCCCATCAAACATTTCGATAACGCGCAATTCATCGTTCATTCAGTTACAAATATTTTCACGTTTTAAAATATGTATTGGTTCTATATGTATACGATTTACGAAGGTGATCGATATTCTTTCTTTTGATGATCAGTATAATCAACTATGGTGTTCCCCTCTTACAATATTTCTTGCACCTTTCACCTAATTGACTGTACTCGCAATTCTCCATGGCTCGACAATCACATGCGGCATCCCTCTTTTCCCCCGGACTTTTTTTCTTCAAAGTCGTGACTATTCATTCTCGCGTATACCAGCGATCACGAAACAAGTGATGCATTCGAAGCTCGTGCATGCGTGCACACGAAGGTAATAATTTGCTCGTTGGATTGGTCGATTCGATAAATGTCACAAAAAATATGCGCAAATACGTTTCGCACTCGATTTTCATACGTACATCTCCAAGTGCTCGTGAGTGCCGTTAGGTGGGTTTTTTTTTCTTCATATTTTATTTTTATCCTACACGGTTCATTGTGCACAGTTTAACAAAGTCATAATTCTTCATTTCCCTTGCAGGGCTTACTGCCTTTATTCGTAAATAAATGACACAATAAATTACTGGACGACAAATTTATGATTCATATAATTATGTACAATAATACTTGAACATACAATTCTCAAAGTTGCATTGTGAATAGTTTAAAGCACCGATTCTCAACAGATGCTGTACCGATTTTTTGTTTGCAATATGCACATTGTAGGAATCTGTATACATTAAAAATGTTTGCAGTACTAAAGAATCGTAATAAAGGTACAAAAAGTTTCATGTACTTTTCAAAATTAACATGAATTTTCGTGTGAGAAAGTTCCAGTAATTTTATGATCTTTTTTTTTAAAAAAAAAGGGAACCAACCTCCCAACAGTTTCAAATATACGTTGAAAGAAACTAGCTCCCACTGAAAGCTATGCACAAGCAAACACTGACAATCTATTTGTATCGATACCCAACGATCAATTGTAAATTTGACCACAGGCACGATTCAATGAAACGTCAAAGAGGCACAAGTTTTACGTTGGCAACGATGACAGGAACACAGGTTGGGTGACCCTGGACGCGGTGCCGTGGTCAAAGAGCAAAATATCAAAGTGGCAGCCTAACCCGACGACTCAGGGCCCGTGGCCGGAACACAAGCCCTGGGACAAGCCAAGCTTCAATAAGCCGTGGAACTCGGACTATCCGTCCAGACCGGCTTCGTACGAGACCGGCAAGCCATGGTGTGACTTTTTCCTCAAATTAACTTTTTGTCAAGCGTAGCGTTTATTTGAACTTTGTTTTTCCAGAACAATTATTTTTCGGTAAAACATCATTTTTTTAGCAAAATTTTGCGGAGTCGGTAAATTTTTTTTCCTTAATAAACTTTACGGCCGAATGTTCAGTTGACCAAAAAGCATGTTTGATTAAAATTAGTAGATTTTTGGTCAATTAAACAAAATAAATGATAAATTCTCTAATACTTACTTTAATAGCACATCCAATTGAATATAAGAAAGATTCATTGCTAAGATCAAATAAAATATTTTAAACACCTGTAACAGATCAAGTGTTTAAAATACAATCGTATTCGAGTAAATTATTTAAAATACATTTGTTTTTGATAAAATAACTTGAAACTTGTTCATTAAGTACGTTTGTACTTTGAATAAATTATTTTTAAATACAGTGGCCGACTCTAATTAGATTCGAGATTTTTTTTTATTTAAAATTTAAAATTTCAAAGAAAAGAAAAAAATTTTGTTCTACACATTTGAAATATTTGGATTTCAAGTAAATTATCGTATTCAAACTACTTGGAGCAGGTTACATTGAAAACGTTTGATCTAAAGTGACGGAATCAAACGAACGTGCTAATGAATGAAAGATCAAAAATCCGCGTGGCATAAAAATAACGTTTGAATAGGCAAAACAAACTGACGCGGCCCGAGTGGTCCGACAACGACGGCTCGGGCTCGAGCAAGCCCTGGTACTCCGAGCGACCGCGTCCCATTCAGCACGAGCGGCCCTCTTATCCTGCGATCGCCAACGACGAGGACAATCCGAATCAGGCGCAAAAGTGGCCACCGGAGCGACCCGCCTGGGACCGCGAGCCATCCCGTCCCTCTTTGGACACGGATGATAGCCCATCCAATTTTCCGCCCAACAATTGGGAGAACTATGAGCCAAAGTTAGGAATTCACTGATACTCTTACTATTACGAGTTTATCACTGTGAAATCCAAGTGCGTTTAAGTACACGTTTAAAGCGTGTCATCGAAATTTCTGTTTTTACAAAATACATCGTGGTGGCATGGATAAGAATTTTAAGAACAATCACATTGATGCTTCATAAACTATTTCACCTGTTCTATTCAACTAAACCATTTTTTTTTTTTTTTTTTTTTTTTTCATCAACTATTGGCATAAAAAGGCTTGGAGAGTAAAACACTTCTGCCACAGATTTTACACACTTGTGAGCGTGTAAAATCTGTGACAGCCAAGTTTTTTTCTCTCCACAGCTTTCCTACGTTGATTTTTCTGATTCACATGGGTCTAGTATAATGGAACTGGTTAACCACTTGGTGCATCATAGATTGGATTGTCCTTAAAATTATAATTATCTACGCCACCACGATGTATTTTATGAAAAAACGAAAATTTCAACTACACATTTTAAACATGTACTTTCATACACTTGGATTTACAGTGTATGTGCTTTACGTTTTCAATGAGTTTGCATTATTTTTTTTACTCTCATAGTCTTTGGGTACCATTAAATTAGTTTAATTAGTGTTGAAGTAATTATTTCATTTCGTGGGATCTGCAGTATTATAAAAATGTAATTCTCGCTGCACGTTTACGTTTTCCAATATTGTTCCGAATTTCGGTTTGGACACTCTTCGCTACGCGTATCGAAAAGTGCCGGCTTACTAAAGAAAAAAAAGGAAAAAAAAAAAATCAAATCTCCCGAATGTTCAAAGGCCAAGCTACACGCATCACACGGAGAGCTACGTAAGCGAATCAGGTGGTTGGCACGACCGCAACGACTTCCCGAGTCCCAACAGCCACAACGGCCACAACGGCAAGCACCGGCCCTCCGACGACGGCTACAACGACCGACCACATTTCTCCCACTACAAGTATCCGTCGAGCAGCCGATTCGGCACCAGCGGCGGCAACTATCCGCCGAACCACCCGTCCAGCGGCGACGGACAGTGGATCCTCTTGTCCACGAATCGCGGCTACTCCAAGTCACGGCAGCGCTCCATCAAGCTCGACGCCCTCGTCAACGCCGATACCAAGCAGGCCTTTCCCGCGAACGCGAAGAAACAGCGATTTCCTCAGCACACGGCCGACAACGAGGAGCACATGCCCGCCGTGACCTCGAAGAGGCAGGTGAGAGAACTGGCCTCGCGTGGAGAATATATATATATTTTGGGTCGATGTTCCAATAGACGACCCTTTACCTCCTTTTTTTAACACTAATCTCCAAAGTATGATGGTTTTTGTCAACAAAGAAATCATACGAATACACACTCTATCGAATAACATGGCCATGAGGTTCAAAAAGTAAGGTGTGTTCTCGTTCGGAGAGGACTCAATTTTTTTTTCATTGGCCATTCCCTTTTTTTTTTTTTTTTTTTTTTTTGTAATACACGTTGTGGTGTTTTTTCTTGGAGACTTTTTTGTTTCCGCGAAGTGTACCGGGGTTATAAGTACTGATTTTAGGGTAGAAAAATTGTTATTGACTCGTCTCGAAGCATACACTTATTTAATATATTTTGAGCTCAGTTACTGGATCCATTGAACGAGAAACGTAACATTAAGATGAATGAAAATAATCGTTGTTCATGAGTCATAAACGCATTTTACGGTCTTCCAGATAATTTTTGTAAGAAGCACTCGTGTTTGTAGTTGCTCTTTACAACTGTAATTTAAAATACATTCCTGTGTCGTTAAAACGGTAATTTTCGTATGATTTTGTTGAACTTGTTTTTCTGTCCATCGATGCCCAGGATGGATGGAATCTTACAGATCGGGTAGAATTTTTTTCCCCCACGGAACTAAATTTTATAGATAACAACGTATCGGAAAAATATCGTCGTTTCATTACTTTTTATTACTCTTAGTACCCACAGATTACAAATACAGAATTATTTAGGTCACTTTACTTTCTCGGGCCGTTGTCGGCATGTCTTACCTCACTCGTCTGTTTCTACTTGATTTTGCAAACGTCATCCTTTCTCAGATAAAGTCCCTCGAATTGTTTTTCTTTTTATACTTTTTGCATAAACATTGGTACTTCCAGCTAGAGCATGTCAACTTTTTTTTCATTCCAGATCAAAAATTGTGCGTGTTGTAACAAGTAATTTGATGAAAAAAAAAAAAAAAAAAAGAAAAAATAAAAACGTATCGTTATTGTTTCTATAATGTTGTATAATATTCGTTAATCGTGGTTGGATGGGCAGGGGGGAAGGGGTATAATTCCTCGTAAAAGTAATGTTCTTCTTCGCTTGGTAACGTCGTTAATGGGATGTAATAATCCGACCGCGAACTGGAACCGATCTAACGGTGACCAAACGGACAATACGTATACAGTGTACAGGGGGGGAGCGCACATTTTATACTTGCCACGCGCAACCTTATACGTCCCGCTCGAGGGGAAAAAAAAAAAAAAGTTATCGTCAGAAAAACTTGAGCAAACCACAACGTCCTTTGGCATTCGCGCGCACGTACCAACGAACCCAAGCAACAGCTCGTTAAAATCGGATCCATTAAAATGCCCGTTGCCTCGGCAGGTCCGACTGATCGTGCTGCCGTCGCTGAACGCCACGAACACGACGACCTCGCACGGCGGCCTCTTGGAAGTCGAGCCCTCGTTCAAGACTGTCGAGCAGAGCCGAAGGGAGTACGAGCTCGAGATGCACAAGAAGCAAAACAACGCCACCAATGGCACGGCCGACCGGCCGTCGGGCACAAAGATCCAGGTTAACAAGCGCCCGACGCGGAACAAACTCGCGACCGGCTCTGCCACGAGCTCGGCTGTTTTAGCAGCCGTCGGTGCGGGTATGGTGCCCGCGACGATGGCCATGATGATACCGATGATGCTCGGTAAGAAACGGAGGAGAAGATCGGCCGATTACGACCAGTTGGCGTTTATCAGCGTGCCCGTGGAGTCTTTGTTGGGCGACTCGCCAAGGCGAAGGAGGGCGTAGGGCACTGCTTAGCGCGCGCATTTCATATTTCACTGTGTTATTATGTTTTTTTTTTTTTCCCCCAATTCAATGGGAGTTTCATTGAGATGTGAGGATTTTCGATGGATTGCTCGAAAAGTAAAAAAAAATGTATATATATGTACCCTTTTTTTCTTTAATAATTGTTTTAAAAGGCAGTTGTATCGGGAGGTTTTAATTTTAATCAAGCAAGAGAATACCTGTGGAGTGAAAATTGTAAACGGTACTTTTTTTCATTTTTTTTGTCAAGAGTTAACAAAGTTTGCACATGCCATACGTATAGAATAACAAAGGAAGATTACTCAACTCTGGCACTCTAGTTGATCAATAGATGAAAACGTTTCGACTGATTTTTTTTTATCTTATTTTGTTCTATTTTGCATTTTCCTACATAATATGCATCTGGATTTCCGATTCTAAAGTTTTTATGTTATTACACTTGGAAAGGTTTTTTTACAAGTGCTCAAACCTGATGTTTTGTGTGAAAAAAGTAATCGAAACGTATACGTTATATGGTTTTTACCAGCAAATGTATGGATTTTTATTAAGAAAATGTTGATAAAGTTTTATCATTTGACCCAGGATAATTGTTATAAAAAAAATAAACATTTTAAAATCCATTGTATGCCTCTTATAAAATTAAACAAAATCGGTTACTTTTAACTGATGGGTTTTAACAGCGTAGTTTAGCATTTTTCAATCCACGATTCATTGTACTGAAAGTTTATTTAATATAATTAACTTAAGACTCTTATTTGCATACCATGCAATTTATAAAATGTAATTAAGTGTTTCGTACATTTTTAAAATGATGCTTTTTTGTATTTTCATAATTACTCGTACTTTTAAAATTTGATACCATTGTTTAAAAAATACATTTTCCATAAAAATAAAACTTTCGAGAAATTTCAATGTAAATAGTTTGAAAAAATTTTCTCATTTCCAGCAATGTATTTCGTCAAGCGCGTTGTTAATAATTAAAATATCATACCTAATTTTTAAGTATCTTTATTCATGCGTATTCGTATAAAATTTAGTATTACTGTTTTATTCGTTACTTATTCATGTTATCGTTCTACATACAAACTGGTAAAAGAATATTTTATACATAGATAAAATAAAATAGAAATCCTACTACTTTTTGTATCGATGTATTTACATGATTTTGCATTTTCATTTTATAAACTATTTAATAAAATCAATAACACATTAAGGAGTCTTACACATGAGTACTTATAATTAATAGCGTAAACGTGTTCAATCAAACTTGAGATACATTGTATGGGTATATTTATACTAATCAGTTTAATTGAAGATTAATCGAACTTAAGCTATGTAGTTATATACGATCAGTCGCTCATGGTCAGAGTTGCTCGAATGATTATATGAAAAAGAACCTTTCCCTTTTATAGCCCCATAGTTTGTCAAACATCATCGTAGAGCAACTCCAAATCATTTCAGTTAAAACTTTTATGAAAATTTAGAAAATATAATACGTGTACACCGACAATATTTCAAATGATACACCATTTACTATCTTTTCATACGATTTTTACAAAAGAAAAATTTTACTAAATTAATGAATGAGACACTAGTTGTCAACAATCAATCAACTGATTTTATAATCGCTCGCGTATAGAGCTCTGCTATTAGCACGGCTGAATCGTTTAAGGTAGAAAATCCATCGGCACTAACAAATCAAACTTTTCTTGAATTTGAAATACGTTGTGTACATAAAGTTTTTTTATGTTATGGAAAATTTTTTTAAGGTAATGTATCAGTTCTAGTTAAAATTTAAAATATGTTTTTCAACATTGGCTGTAATAAGGTACAGCAAAAAAATTTTAAAAATTATGTAACGAATCTAACTATTTTTATGAAAAATACTGCACAAATCTGCAAAATTTTTACTTTATTTTGGTACTTTCAAATTATGGTGTGTTGGCACGAAATAAAAATCAGTTTATTGATGAATGTTTTTCCCGTTACAAAAGCATATGGCTACAACTTATAAGACTGTCACAATACGGTAAATGACGCACTTCACTCGCTTGATTAACTCGGTCCTTGGATTTTCTACCTTAAAACCATCTGGGGATCTACTTGTGATATAATTCATGCAATACCACAAACACTACTTGATTGTATAATACTTGAGTCTATAACTTATGAACTAATAGTTATAAAAAAATAATTAAATTACATTCAGTTATTACGAAATGTAATGAAAACTGACCCATTCGATAAGTTAGTAATAATAGCAGAGCTCTAGTAAGTCAATCCTCGTATTGGTCAATCAATCGACTTCAGTAGAAATTAGTTGAAGGATCGAACGACAAAATGCCAGATTAAATGCTATAAAATTTGATCATTCGCTTATGTCTCCCCATTAAACTTTTTCTGAATGTTTCCTATGTACTTGGCAAATCCCTCACTAGCGTGCTTGAGAATTGTCAAGCCAAGCCTCAATTTAATCTCAGCGATCCTCTTGGCCATTCCGATAATGTCTATGCCACTTGGTTGAGGTTTCGAGGTTGTACTGATATTTTCGCGCCAATCGAGAGTCGTCTCGCCTAGGTCTATGATGTCTAGTTCTGTAGGCAGCGTGGTGGTCGTTGTTTTCACTGTTGTAGTGGACAAAGCTGCTGATTTTTCCTTGGTTTTCGTTTCTTGACTACTCAGGAATTCACTGCAAAGGGAAAAAGGTAACATTATATCAAAATATCAAGTAAGCCTACAAAAGTTATTGAAACATTTTTTAAGGTGAAAAACTGTGTACTTGATAGTCTATACTGCGTTATCTATTTGTTTGTTTATTTACTTCATGATTGAACAAAATTTTATAACAGTGAATCACAAAATTGTTGTTCTTTTTTCTGGTTGAAAAAAAAATTTTTCAATATTTCTCAAAGATACCAAAAAATGGAGCAACCAAGCAATTCAATTGTTACATTTTTACCTCGAAGTAGTAGTCTTTGTCGATGCAGTTGTGGTTATCAATGCCGGTTTTGAATGCTGGTCACTTGCAGCTGTCATGTAGCCCTTGTCTCCATGTTTTTTCTGATGTTGTTTTCCTGGGAGCGCTTCATCAATTATATCTAAAATTTCGTTGCTCAGATCCTCTTCTTGCGCTTCTTCTTTTTTTTCCTTCTCAATCTCGCTTTTTGATGGTATTACTTGGATAACTGAATTCCTTTCTTTTTCTGGAGTCTCAAATCCCGTTATCATCGGCATTAAAGAACCAGGAAGATCGGGAAGAATACCTCTCTTTTTCCGAATCGCTCTGAACAACGTTGATCTCACTTTGGACTCATCATCCAACTTTAGTGACCTCGGACCATGTTCTACAAGTGAGCCACTTGAGTTGATTTTTGCATCCTCAAGATCTCCAGTGGACTGCTCTTCTTTGGCTTTTGAAACTAAAGCCGCTGAACTTTCCACATTCTCGATAGATGAATCCGATGAAGGTGATTCTGGTTTCTTATCTTTAGTTTCATCAACTTGATACTGCAATTTTGGCTCTGCTTCATCTTGTAACTTCACTATATCCATCCTTTTGTCAACTTCGCGCGAATACTCCTTTGGTATATTACCAACGACGAATTGCCGATTGTTTCCAACTCCTGTTTTTCCAACTACCAGTCCAAAATCGGTTGGCTGCTGTTGTCGTTGTCGTTCGTAATAATTTGACGTGGTCGATACTTCCGGATATTTAAACTCGGTCTTTCGATAATTCGTTCCATGAGCGGTTGTTTCAACTGGTCTATAAATCACCCGATTTCCATTGTTTTTGATGGTCGGTCCGGGATATCTTGTCGAGGGTTGATGCGAATGTTCCGATGCTGTGTATCTGTAATAGTTGGGACTTTTTTCACCAATGCGATACTTTGTCTCATAATTTTGACCTCCTGTCATGCCTGAGTAAACTTTGGACAGAACTTCTTCTTCACTCAATCCATAATTTCCTCCGTACTCGTCAATATTGTATTTGTAATTAGGCTCAACGTTATAATTCCTTCGAGCGATTACTCCACCGAATGGATACAGAAAATATGAAGCTAGTCCAAGCCCTAGGCCCACCAATGACATAACACCTACACTTGGCATCACTTCTCGACTTATGAAATTATAAATTTGAGAACTTATTGGTTTTTCAACTTGGGTTTGTTGATTTGGTTTTTTTTTCTTCGATGGTGAAATTTTAGACTCTGGCTCGATTTTTGATTCTTGAATTCCATTAACTTGAAGATCATGAATTGTAATAGAATCACTTGATGTTTGACTTTCTTCATCAGACGGTGCATTGGTTGTTGAAGTAGTTGTCGATGTAGTAGTTGTCTTGCGACGACGATTCTTATTTTTCTTGCGTTTTCCAGGTGAACGAGGTTTTTTCGAAGTCGATGTAATTACAGGGGATGTATTGGAATCTACAGATGGTTGCGTTTGGATTTCGACTTTGGAAACCTCAGAGTCAAAATCAAACTTAACGTCTATTTTAGAATTATTCAAAATATCCTGAGCATCATCTATTTTCTGGTCAGAATTAAGATCACTTATTTTCTCAATCGTAAGTACAGGAGGATTCACACGTATAGGTTGAATCTCAATTTTCGTTGTATCATCAGTGGGCTTTTTCGAATGAACTTTTAAAACATTGTTCACTCGAGTAGGGTTAGGGACTTTTACGATTGGGGATTCCGATTGAGAAAAATTAGCTTTGGACAGAATAGTGTGGATTGATTTAGATGTTGTTGAAGTCGGGGTAGTTGATTTCTGAACATCAAACAGGGAAGCTCTGATTTTCGTTATAAACATTGGCTTATCAGTGCTTTCAGTATGATTTTGCGACGCTGTTGAAAGTGGTCTAAGAGTAACTTTTTCAATCCTCGACGTGCTTGTAACGGTATCATTACTCAAAGCTGGCCGTTTAGTCGAAAAGTTTTTCATTCTATTTGATGAGTTATTAGGTTTTGGTGACTTATTTATGGTTGAGTTCTTCGGCGTTGACAGTTTTAGCTTTGGTGTGGTACTACTTTTGTTTAAAGATTTTTTCGTTGACGATTTCGCCGTTGTCGAAACAGGTGTAGGCTGAGTGTTCTTTTTATCAGTGGTCTCAGTTTCATCGATATCATTGTCAAACGATGTGGTCAGTGTGGTAGTGCCTATTTTCACGAAATTCGTAGAGGAACTAGTACTTGTATTCTTCATAACTTTAGTAATAACGGGAAATTCAGTAGTTTTTACAGTAGTTGACTTGGGCTCAGTCTTTCGAATTGGCTTAGTACTAGTAATAGTTTGTTTTACAACACTTGCAGGTAGTTTTGTACTAGTTTTTGATACTATCGGATTGCTCTGGTCATTGGTTTTCGTTTCCGACAAATTACTGTTTTCAGTTGTCGAAGAAACCGGATACAATTGTATCCAAGTAGAAAGTAGGCTTGGCGTAGTTAACTGTTTTTTATCTGCAGTTACAGCAGTCGCCATTTCTTTTTCAATCTCTTCGTCAGTCATGGCAATAGCATGACCAGGATTGGAAATTTCAAAATGTCCAAATTTCGAATTCATTGGAATGCCGAACTTCATTTTAGTCGAATCATCTTCTTCATTGTTTTTATCATTATTTACAACGCCTTCAATTTTTGTTGAGACTTGAACAACTTGCATTGGAGTTTCCATTGTAACAATTTTTTCTTCAGGCATTGGAAATAAATCTTCACGTTTTGTAGAGTTCAAAAGCTGCGTTGCAACAGTTCGTAACGATTGGTCCATACTTTGGATGTCCTTAAGCTCACGTGGACGACTTTGCCTGTAAATCAAAAGGAAAATTGAAATTAAATGCGATTCAGCTGATTTATGTTTAATGCATGTTTCAAAATATTTATGCAATACTAGAAAATAATGTTATTATTGTCTTGTCAATACAATACTGATCATACTAAATTTAAATAAGTTTTGTATGAGAAGAAAGGATTTAAATAATAAATGACAGATTAATGGATCATATTCTGGTTGAGTTTATTATTTACGAAATTTTTACAAGAATACACTTTCCCGATAAGTGATAATAAGTAAGAAGAGTAAAAACTTTTAAAAAATATTTATATTATTAAAGATATAATCTTCAAAACATCTGACATTTTTTTTATTTCGTTCACTTTAAATATTCATGAGGAACAGTAGCGTTATTTGTTTCTCCCAGTTAAAATGTACAGTCAAATAAAAATTTCCTATTAAAAGATACATTTATTAGGATATTAAGGCAATTTGACTATAATAATACATGAGTAGTTTAGAGCTGTAAAATTTTTCTTGTCAGAGCCTACGAAAATCATTAGTATATGGCCAGGTCAATTAATAAGAGGTAAAGTTCTTTTTCCTCCTAAATTTATAATTAAATTATCCAGCCTCTGATACCTTGTTTTCTGAATCTTCCAATCACACGTAAGAGGGGTATGTTCCTCACTTAATATTTAATTCAGCCATAATATGTTCCATTAGCTTTCCTCTTTTTCTCTACTCTCTCTCTCTCTCTCTCTCTCTCTCTCTCTCTTTCTCTCTGTTTTCCAATTTGAGAACAAAGAAGCCTTCTAATGAAGCTTCTGAGAATGGTAGTTTTCGTTTCTGGTGGCGCATGTTGCCAGGGCAAGCACCAGACCCGAAGGACAGGGATGAAAAAAATTTTCGTCATTCCATAATTCCGTCAATTATAACATTACTTATATTTCAAAATATATTTGAAATGGGGAAAACAAAAACTTTTATTAAGTTATTAGAAGTTTCTAAATTCCATGCTCAGAAAAAAATATTTTATTTTTAGTTACTAGCGAATATGACACGATTCTCGGAATACGTGACTTAATCCATGTAATCTGACGTCAGATTCGTGTCCGGGGACCAAAAATACTCCGTAGAATACAGTTTTGATAATAAATACCTAATTTGCCATTTTTTTACCAAAACGTTGGAATATTCGGCCAAAAATGGCACGGTATTTGAAATACGTGATGTAATCCTGGTAATCTGATGTTGTATTAGCAATCAGCGACTGTAAATACCTTCTACAGCATCGTTTTGATGATAAATACTTAGTTTACCATTTTTATGCCAAAAATTTGACTCTGGCCAAAAATGGCATGGTTTACGGCATGCACAACGTAGAGTAATCCGTATAATTTGACTTCAGATTCGTAATTAATGACTAAATATACATTCTAGATGACACCTTCAGGGCAAATAAGCATTTCAACAAAAATTTTATAGTCATTTCTCAGGTAGAGGCAGTTCTTGGCGTATAATATTATATCCCCCCAGCTGAGACCGAATACCACCCCATGACAAAGTTAAGTTGGCCGAATGTTCCTTGGTGTCCTACAAAAACGTTACAAAAAGTTATATTCAAATAGGTGCTGTTCCCCAACTTTTCCATGTATCCCGGCTTATGTACTGGACTATCCTGAAAGCTCTCACCAGACAGCTCTTTGCGTTGTTCGAAATCCAGTATACAGAAGTAGAACCGTTAAGATGACACACTAAAAAAACTCTTACTACTTAAAAAACACATATTGGCCTAACTTTTGTATTGTGAACTTAATCATTGCTCTAACACTAGTCTTATCGTTATTACTGATTCAAATAAGAATATTTTATACAACAATGGTATTAGTCAAATCAATGTTTTTTTTTTCGATAAGTAAGTATTTTTAATTAAATAAATCAGTTCAAGCGTCATGCTGGTATACAAAGAAAAATTCGCAGTCAAAATATCTGACTCATCGCTAATAGTAGAGTAATTTGTCTGCATCTAGATGGCTCTTTTTTGAACAACTTCTGACGTGGCAGCATGAACTAGTCAGCTTGGTTATAGAGACTACACTAGTCCAGGTCACTAATTATATGTTTGAGACTTGTGTTTATGCATACATTTATATCACAATTTTTTTTGGTTATTTATTTTAAATCCAATGCGTTTTATATATGTCTCTTTATTCCTGTATTTTTAATTTTGTCATAGTTTTCTTATAGTTTTGACTTTTCTCATAGTTTTGATTTTTCTACTATTTCTCATACATCCCCAAATTTTTTTATAAATATCTCCATTGAGGTTTTGTATTCTAAATAATTAATTTAAGATTTTTTTGTACAATATTTATATTTATTCATGTTAATATTTTCATTCTCTTTTTATCTGTTGTTTCTTTGTTTATTTTGATATTACAAATGTATGAGTAATCATATTATGTTTGTGGTTTTGTTTGTTTGTTTGTTTGTTTGTTTTTTTTTTTTTCAAAATCTTTAACGTTACATCATCTTAATTTCCCGATATCGTCTCTTAATATTTTGATATTTTCAAGTTTTCTAATTGTTTTGTTTTCATCTTTGTATCTCTTTGTTAGTTTTTTTAGTTGACAAANACAAAATGTCTGTCATGCTAAAATCGGTTCAAAAAACAAGCTTTTGAAAAAGTTAAACAAACGATACTTGGTTAATTTTGTAATTTGTTATTAAGGTATGAATAATGTTCACATCTTTTTGTCCTCGTATATTAAAGACGCTTTATTTCATTTTTTTGTTTCTAAATGAATGCAATCTCAGTTTTTTCAAAGTTTTTTTAAATGTTACAATTGATTTCTTAAAAAAATAGCTACTAAAATATTTTAACATATAAATAACATCTTTCCCTCAACTTGACTACAAATTTCACTTCAGATTTTAACATGTATGGTACTTGTACTTTACACATATTTATAATTTTATTAGCCTTAAATTGAAAGAATCATCATAATTTTAGTAATTGCAGTAAACTTGATAATTTATTAGAAGTTTTATCTTTTAAATAGTATTTAAAAGGACTTTGTGTCCGCGTATATAATGAATATAATATAATGTAAATTGACTTTTAAAGTTGAAATCAAACTTAAATTATCGTATTAAAAAATCATACATTAGGATTCTACTTATTTAAAAAAAAATAAGTAAATGGTTTTTATTGCATACAACTCTCAACAAAAATTTACTTTCTTTTAAATCTAATATAAAACAGTTGTTCAATATTAAATCAAAAGAAAAATTAATAAAAGTAATAATTAAAGTATAAATAACGTTCAAAACAATGCACGAAATTAAAACAAAAAAAAAGTAAATGGAAATTTATGTGTAATTAATTGTCATCCAGCATGAAATTGTTTACGATGATCATGAAAAATTTTTTTGCAAAATAATATAAATTTTTCCATTTTGAATTCGAAAAAGATTGTGTATTCAAATAATTCGATTATTTATAAGTTAAACCAGAAATATGAAATACATAACTGGTTCCACATTTTTTATAAATACAAGAGACTCTTTTACACAACTAATGTGTAAAATTTTATCCTAAAAACGCAAAACTTTCGAGCACTACAAGACAGTTCTTTTTCTTTCAGGATTTTATTGCGAAGAGGTGCTGACATGAATCGAGTCACCACTGAAGGCATGTCCCTACTGCATTACGTGAGGACCGCAGAATGTACCAGTTTATTACTGAAATACGGAGTTGATCCCGATGCGGAGGACCTAAACGGCAGAAACTTACTTCTCAAAATTCATCTGAAAGTCTCTAAATGCACCAATTATGTGGAAGGGAAAAAAATCGCTAAACTTCTGGTCCATGCAGGAGCGGATTTAAAAGATGTGGTAGATCAAATTTTGAAAGAAAGTAATAGAGTGTCACATCCTACAGAAGGTGAAATCGTTAAATACAAAATAGACGAGTTCCAAGATTTCATTCTAGAGGCACTGCTCATGAAGGTACAAAAGTTATTGGCTCTGAATCTCGAGGACCTAATTGAACTGTACAGAACACATCCATTATACGCCAGAAGTGTCTCTGAAACTTTGCTCATGAATGTGACGAAATTTCAGAATATTTCTATGCTCGATGTTTTAACTAAAAGTGCGGACTTTCTGCTCAATACTTTTCCACATAAGCAAGTTTTGATGAGTCTATTACCTTTTTTGACAGAACATTTAGTACATTTGGAAACCTTTAAAGCCATGATGGAAATTAAGTGTACATGTTTAAGTACTAGATTGACGTTGGAGTACATAGCAGCTGACGTTATGTACAACAATTTCCCTGCTTTTTGTTACAATTATAATACGGCCTATGCCATTTTACGCCATCTCGATGTACAAAGCCTTAGAAATGTTATTAGTATGGATCTTAAGGTATTTAATAGAATGCAGGATTACTTACTTACTGCAAAAAACATACAGTGATGTGTTGAAAAATTTTAGTGATCTGGATAACAATGTATTTTTGGGACTTATAAAAAAAAAATCAATAAATAATTTTTTCGAATGTGTAAACATCACTTTCATGTTGATTTTAATTTCTTAAATAAATTGTGTTGTACAATGACTTGCATTATGAAATCTAACACAAACTCTATGTATGTAATTCAAGTAAACATTAAAATGTAAAATCTTATTTTCATACTAAATACTTCTTTTTTTTGCAAATTTTCACTGGAAATTTGTTAACAAAAACCTTTTATAACCTGAGAGTAAGAATTCTATAAACCTACTGCCTAGTTTTATTTTAGCCACATTTCATTAACATTTATCACAAATTAGATATTATTGTTAGGATTATAACGTATTTTTTTCATAGGGGTCTTTACTTTTTTTAAAAATGATTATTTACATGAAATTCATAAAAAATAGAATTAACAGAGGATCCAGAAGTTAAAAACTCACATATTATCCTCCAAATTGTTCCTGAAAATCAATTAAACACGTAGTCTCATGGAAACTGTCAAGAAATTGACTGTAACTCCCAAAAAGTCATCAGTATTTCTTAGAAAGTTTTGATTTAAATGATTCAGAGCTTAAAATAAGTTTTACACTTTTATAAGATTGTCATAACGATTTGTTGTTTTTCAAAACTAATTTTTTTATATTCTTTGAGTAACATAATTTGAATTTAAATTACAAATCAAAATCATACTACTTTCTAACCTAAAAATAAAAACTTTAACTCATTTCTCCAATCACCCTGATATTTTTTTTGTCCTTTTTTTTTATTAAAAAAGTAATTTTTTTCTCATAAGTTTTATTACATGATCTTATGGGCAGATTTTACTGATCCAGGGCTAGAAATAATTAATTTTATATGATTATAGCAGCTCAGACATATTAATGTACTTTAATATATTTTCAAGGATCTTGAAGCAATTTATTGATTATCAAAAATCGTTTA